GGGATAAGTCTATTTTAAGCCTTTTTTGTTTTATTTACATACATTTCCTTTAAAAATTTCCTTCAAAATAGCAGCAAAACCACAAAGGAACTCTCAATCAATCACCCTCAATCATGTTTTAAAATAATAATAAAAAGATAACAGAAACCACTTCAAATGCACCTCTCCCTTGAGCCTACAGAACAGCACTCTTCCATGACAACTGTTCTGAAAAACACACTGCTGTTATTTGAAAAGCAGTAGAAAGTCCAGTCTTGTCCTTGGTTCAGCACTCCCCTTCCCTCTCTTTCCAAGAAAAAAAAAAAAGAAAAAAGAAAGAAACAGCAGGATGTATAATATAAATAACCACTTAATGGAAAATACAAATGGGTAAATATTTTTTAAATTGGCTAAAAAGCCTCAGGTCTTAAATTCAAAAATGCCATGTAGGGGGAAATAGGAAGAGGAAAATAAAATTGTATTTCCCCCTCAAAGTGAGCACTGTAAGAATGCAAGAGCAAATGTGGTGCATAACTACTTTCCTTCACTTACCAAATGCTTTTGTCTCTAACGATTTCTCTCTCGTTCTGTCTTGCCATACATTATAGTATTTTCTAAATAATTTATTCTGTACTATTTCTCCAGCTCCATAACAAGTTTTACAATGTTAAACTGAACTCTGGTTCAAATGAGCATGGTGATGAAAAGTTCACATAGAGAAAACTCTCGGAGCCCCGGCCCAGCACCAACCAGCCCTCTTTACAGAGCCCACTATGAGTATGGAGGGCACAATTAGTTACAGTTGGACCAATAGCTTCAAACTACAGGCCACACTACATCATAAAGCAGTTTGTGAGAATTAGAAAAGGACATTTCCTCTCTTAGGGGACACAGTTGCATACGAGGTCTTCATATTGGTAGGTGGAGCATAGAATGGATTTCCTCTCAAAACAGATGCCTGTGTGCTCAGCACAATCCATAAAACCCTGCAAAAGTGTACCTGGGGCAACACTGCACCTCCAAAGCAGGTTTTCAGAAAAAAGAACCTCGTCAAAGACAAATAGGCATTTCCCATATTTCATTACCAGAAATCCTCACATTTGTTAAGAAATTAATTCCTAAACATATTAGGACTAGAGCAAATTGGTCTAGCAGAGAAGGAAAACTAGCAAATTTGGGAGGAAGGAAACTTCCATCTTGAAGGATAATCAGTTGTTTCCTAAAGCCCCTAATCTTTGACTATAGGTTCAAATAGCTGAAACTCAGCTGCCAGTCAGATAATAAACCACTCAAACCATCACTGTCACCTGCAGAGAAAGGCATAAGGACATACATTTTACCTTTGGGAGTTTACTGGTACTTTCACCAAATCTATTAGTTTTCCTTCTGTTAGACCCTTTTTAGCTTCTCCTATCTCAACTATAAAACCACATATTGTGACACATTAAAGTTTGTATAACCTGCTAAATAGTGGGTAGTGGGTCCCTCAGCTACCTGCATGAAAATAAGAGGAAAAGACTGGATTATGAAAGGTTTAACACTCAATGGTTTCCATCCCTATCATTATTTTATACCCTACAAAAGAGCTAAGTATCACATGGATCCAAATTAGTCCGTCATGCAGAAGGAGGGAGCTAGACAGGGACAAAGCTGAGATGGAGTACAACCCAGAATCAGGAGCATAAGGCAGTGGATCTCAATCTTTAGTGGGCATTAGATTCCTGGGTCCCCCCTACAACTGATAAGTCTAAATGTCCTGGAGCATTTATATTTTGATAAAGCTTAAACTGCTGATCTAGCTACACTAGAAAGTTTAGTACCACTGGGAAATCCTCCACATCTATCAGCAGTCCCAAAATAAAAGTCATCCATCACAAAACTTGGCTTTACAGGTTAGAAGCCGGTGAGAAAAGAATCACCTACCTGCATGCCTACTAGGCTGTACAGGACGAGAGCCTGTGGCTAGTTTCATTATTATGGGACAAAATCCATGTGCTCTATAGACAAGAACACTTTTTGCATGTGAGAAATATTTAAAACACCTAAAAATATTTAGAGTAATACAATGAATACCTCTGTACCCTACACCCAAGATAAGCAAATTTTAATTTGCAATTATCTGATTTAGATTTTTTAAAATAATAGAACATTACAGTGTCAAGCTCTCTGTGTACTCCCTCCAATCCCATTCCTCATCTTTTCTTCCCAGAAATAATCACTACACTGAATTTGGTGTTAATTATTACCATGCATTTAAAAAATATTTTATTGATTTTTAGAGAGTGAGACAGAAACATCAATGAGAGTGAAACATTGAGAAACATCCATGAGAGCGAAACACCACCTCTCACACTCTCTCACCCAGGATGGAGCCCACAACTTAGGCATGTACAATGACCAGGAATCGAACCAGAGACCTCTGGGTGCATACCATGTATGTTTTTATAATTTTACTATGTAGTACACAGTAGCCACAAACAATATGATTTTGCATATTTTCAGATTTTATGCAAGTGGAAATATTCTGTAACAATTTTGTTACTTGCTCCCATTCAACCATTTTAATGTATGTGGCTATAGTTTCTTTTTCACAATGCTATCATTGTGTGGGACAATCTAACAATTTATGCATTCGCCTGTTTGTGGATAGTTAAGCTGCAATGGGTATTCTTTTTTTTAAAATATATTTTATTAATTTTTTACAGAGAGGAAGGGAGAGAGATAGAGAGCTAGAAACATCAATGAGAGAGAAACATCGACCAGCTGCCTCTTGCACACCCCCCACCGGGGATGTGCCCGCAACCAACATACATGCCCCTGACCGGAATCGAACCTGGGACCCTTAGTCCGCAGACCGACGCTCTAGCACTGAGCCAAACCGGTTTCGGCTGCAATGGGTGTTCTTGTACTTCTCTTGTACTTATTTCCTTGGACAAGTGTGCAAGGACTTCTTAGAGTATATACCAGGAATGAAATGGACACTTTGAGTAAATAGGTACCTTTGCCCTCCTTCAACTAAATTTCATTATGGTATATTACTCTCCAAGGTAGTTGAACCCATTTACATTCCCACTCGCAGTATTAAAAGTTGATTTCCCCACAACCTTACTAACACTTTACTATCACAGCATTTAAGTTTTGCCAATCTGATGGCTGTAAAATGGCATCTCACTGTTGTTTCTATTTGCATTTCCCTGGATACAAGTCTTTGATAAATAAATTTTCATGCTTTTATATGTATCTGCCAAATATGTGTTTCTCACATATTTTTTTCTTTTTTTTAAGAAAAATCCAACTCATTTTGTCTGAATCGGGCAATTCTTCCCAACAGCCCCAAGCTGGAAAGCTGAGGTACAGGAAGGAGGGCAGCAAGAAAACAGCTGACTTAAACAGGGAATCACCCTGGACAAAGGGCCCTAATTAATGCATTTGCTAATTAGTCTTCCCTCCTCTCTTTTGTCAAGCCTTACTTCCAAGACACCATTATGGGCCCGCAGCCTTAGAACAGGAGAGAGAATGGAGGTGGGGTGTGTGAAAGCTAAAACATGCATGTAAAAGTACTGGAACTGTCTTTACTTAAAGAAATGAAATACCTATTACTCAACCTTGTAGGATACCACTCACCTCTAACAGACAGCTTTCAAACTCATCCCATTTGGTTCCCTCTTTGAAACATCCACATCTTTTTCTCTAGACTAGACACGGTCCCCTCCCTTTATCCACCTTTTCATCTCCCCTCCCCCACGGGGACAAAATACACTCTCCTTACCCCCCACCCCCACCCCATTCTACAGCTACTATTTTCTAGCTCCTCGGGACCCTTTTTCATGGCCTTTAACACGCAGCACGTTGGCTCTCTTCACCCTTTCCTCCAGAACTCCAAGTCGTCTCTTTCCCACCAGTGTAAAAACAACCCAACTAATCACCAACCCAAGGAAAAATGGGGCTCTGGTGCAAGACATGGTCCCGCGTTACGTGGTCCCAATCCTCCCACAGCTTCCCTTCCCCCTTCAGGCCTGGGAGTGACTCTTTCCCTGGGGGTTCTGCAAGTTTGACAGCTCAGATCACAATCAGCGGGGGTGACTGGAGGGGGGGCACGGACTCGTTCCGCCTTCTGGGTCAGAAATGCCTTTAACCGAGGCCATATACTATGCACTGCTTGGGGCATGGACGGAACTCGGGCCATCTGGTGGAAAGGACACCTTACGGGAGTCCCCACGAGAGGAGGCAGACCTCCCTCCTATTCACTCGGGCTGGGTTGGTTGAGTCCGGGCAAGAGGTGGTGGGAAGGTGGCCTGGCAGAGACAAACGGTCCCCACGATGAAGTTTCCAAGCGCTGACTGACCCACGCACTGGAGAAGCCCGGTCGCCCGCCCCCAGCACACCCACCCCAGAGCCTCTTCCTCAGGGGCTCCCCCAAACCCGCTCTCCGGGGCACCCCCAGGCCCCCCAAGCGGCCCCTGCTGCCCGCTCCCACCCCACCAGAGACCCGTTCCCCTAAGCCAGCCCCCAAAGCGCTGGGTGGGCGTGCCCGGGGCCAGGGCCCCCTCCGCCCGGGCCCGTCCCCATCCCGGTCCCCCTCCGTCCTCGGAAGCGGGGGGCCCTTCCTCCTCCCGCCCCCCGCCCTTCTCCCCCTCGCGGCCCGCGCCGCCCAGGGGGGCCCCGGTCCCCGCCAGGACGGACACCCAGCGGCGACGTGACCTTGGGCCAGTCACTTCCCGCGGCGGCGAGCCTCAGTTTCCTCCCGCCGCGCGGAGAGCGGAGCCCCGGCCGGCGGGGGCAGTCCTGCCCGGCCGCCAGGGGGAGGGGGCTGCCGCCGGGGACGCTTTGTGAGCCGTGCGGGCGGCGGGGACACGGCTCGCCGGGCGCGGGGGCCGGACAAAGCTGACCCGGCCCGCGCTCCGCCCACCCCGCGGGGCCGCCCGGCTGGACCCCCGCCTGCGGGCCCCCCACCCCGGGGACCGGCCCACACCCCTCCCTCCCTCCCTCTCTCCCCGCCCGGCCCGCCCCTGGCCCCGTACCTGCTCCCAGCGCTCGGCCGCAGGCGCCGCCACCCGGGGCGCCCGCCCGCGGAGGCCCGTGGCCCGGAGGGCTGAGGCGGCCGGCGGCGGCGGGCTCGGGCCGGGGCGGCGGCGGCGGCGGCGGCGGCGGGGGGCGCGGGCGGCCCCGCGGGGGCCCGAGCTCCGCGGGGCCCGGCCTGGGAGACGACGACGGAGGCTGGAAGTGCGCGGCGGCCGCGGCTGCTGAGGTGGCGGCGACCGCGGCGGCGGCGCTTCCGCTCATGGCGGGGCCGCGGGCCAGCGGCTCCGGCGGCGACTCGACTCCGGCGGCGCGGCGGGCGCTGGCTGGGCCCCGGCCGGCGGCGGCGGCGGCGGCGGCGGCAGCGGCAGCTACGGCGGCGGCGACGGAGGCGGCTCCCGGCGGGGGAGGAGGCGGAGCCGGGGCGCGGCGGCGGCGGAGGGGGCGGGGACACGGAGGGGGCGGGGACACGGAGGGGGCGGGGACGCCGCGCCGCTGCGCCAATGGGCGGCGCGCTCCTCGGCGGCGGCGGCGGCGGCGGCGGCGGCGGCTCCCGGGCCGGGCCGGGCCGGCGGGGCCGAGGGGGTGTCCTCGGCGGCGGGCGAGCCGGGGTTCGCCGGCCCGAGAGCCGCCTCTCGCGGCCGCTCTTCCCCCGGGGCGCGGCCGCGGGCCTCCCGAGCCGGGTGGCGGGCCTTTGCCCGGCTTGGGGCGGCGGGGGGCTGCTGTTGGCCGGCTTCCCGCTCCACGGTTGTGCCCCCTTGGCCTCCCTCCGCCTCCGCCTCCCCTTTCCCGCACCGTAGGCACCGTCTCCTCTCCGCCTCTTCACTGTTTCCGCAAAGTTTTCCCCGTTCGCACACTTGGGAGCGAAACTCTCCTCCCTTCGTGGGCTCCGTCTCGGGGAGAAGCCAGTCCCCGGGGACCCAGAGCGGACAGCGGAGGCGGAACCGGCCGAGGGGAGACGCCTCGCCTTCTCTCAGCCCAGAAACCATCCTGAATTGTGAACAGAAGCCAGCGTGGCTCAGCCCTGGCCCCTCGCCCCGCTCGCTGACTTTCTCTTCCCGTTTCTTTCTTTAAACGCCCTTGTAAAGCCTTCCAGGAAACCATCCCGCCCAGCTGGGCCTGCCCTCAAAATGGGAGAGAGGCTGGGAGGTGAGGAAAGCCCTGGGAGCTGCGCTGACAGTTTTCCTCCGAGAGAATTCTGCAGATTCACGGCCCCGTTGGCAGCCTCCTGCTCTTGGATGCGATGTTTGTTGGTCACGGAACCCATTTCCTTTTCGTGTTTCTCTGACTCTCAAATCAAAGTCATAGAGGAGAGAGAGAAAAAAACAACACACACAAACACACAAAAACAAAACAAAAACTCAGCCATGTGCTAGGAGTGCCTGAAAAGTATAGCCACGTGGGTGATGGTGCAGCTAAACTGCTGACTAGATCACTTCAATAAAGGATTATCCCCAGCCTTTCTCTACATGCAGCCACCAGCTGGGGATTGAGGAGAGAGAGAGAGTGAGCTACAAATTGACAAGGCAAAGTGCTACAGTAATAGGCCGAGAGAGAAATGTAGATGAATCTTTAGCAACAAACATTTCCATGTCCACCAGGACACTTAACTAAGTAGGTGGGCAATCTCACTCATAGGGTCATCAGCAATGCTCCGTACACAGTGAGAAATACAATGATAAAGATATATAGCATTCAAAGACTTTACAAATCTCCTTGGAGAAGGCTGGTGAGATATATTCTCAGAAGATAAGAATTTAAGGATGAGTACGAGTTTTCCAGGTAGAGCAGGTTGGGAGACAGTGGGCTGGGAAGACTTTAATATTATTATTGGTCAAGGAACTTAATAGTTCCTGAATCCCATCCTTGACTTTCCAGTCACAGAAGAGGCAGGTAACATCATATGACTACTTGGGGCTTCGGTCTCAAGTGCCCACTGAAGAATGCCCATAAACTGGCATTTTTATCTCCTTTGATAGGTCTCAGCAGCATTGAACAAAATCAGCTCTATTTCCACCCCAAAGCTCAAACCCCAGTTTCAGCTCTGAACAACTCTAATTTTTAGTCAGGTGCCTTGCCCACCAGCCCCTAGAAGAAAAAGGGCAAGCAAGCAATTGTATTCAGTGACCAAAAGGAGCCTTCTGAAGCTGCCTTGCAGGCCAGGAAGAAAAGAAAAAAAGAGCCACCTCATCTTGCCAATTAAATGAAGGGGTAGGGGGAGAGGGGGAGAGAGAAAGAATGGATCATATCCATGTGGGCTGTGACCTTTAGCTCTAGAAATTTTTATCCTCCAGCAGGGTCAGGAAGAGAGATGGGCAGGTGTGTTCAGGAAACCACACTTTCAGTCGGGCTTAAATGTATAACCTGGGCAATGAGTGGAAAGATCAGAGTGGAGAGTGAGAGGAAACCAGGTGACGGTGAAAAGTCTTGAATGCCAAGTTAAGACATTTGAACTTAACAGCAGAAACTAAAGAGAGCTATTTCAGGGTTTAGGGAGAGAATGACACAATCAGATTGGATTTGGGGAAGACTCTGGCTGCGGTGTAGAAAATGGATTGGGGAGGAACAAGAAGAGAAGCAATACAATTGGTTAAAAAGTTATTGGGCAAGGGATGAAAGGGACCCAAACTGATGCAAAGAGGGGAATAGAGAAATATTAAGGTGGTAGAATCCCCAAGGCATGTAGCTGTTGAGGTCAATGAGGGAGAATCAAGGATGATAAAGATTTTGGACTCAGGCAACTGGGTGACAGTGGTGCCATCCCTAAAGGTAGGGAATACAGGATGAGGAACAGAGAAGGAGGATCCTAGTTCAATCAGTTCATTTCTATGACCCTCACTCTCCTCATCCAGGTAAGACAGAAGAGCTGAGGGAATTGGACTAGAGTCACTAATGTCCTTCTAAGATTGGCATCCAGTGTTTTGCAAAGGAGAGGCAAGATAGCAGAATTGCCCATTTCACATTTCGTTTCCATTCTCATTGTGGCTAAAATATACATAACATAGTTTTATCATTTTAACCGTTTGCGACTATATGATTCAGTGGCATTAACTACTGTCTTTAGCTCAGGCTGCCATAACAAACTACCATAGGCTGCTGGCTGAACCAACAGATATTTATTTTCTCACAGTTCTGGAGGGTTAAAATTCAAGATCAAGGTGCCAAGATGTTTGGTTTCTGGTGAGAGGTCTCTTCCTGGCTTGTAAATGGTGGAATTCTGTGTGCTCACATGATAGGGAGAGAAGAGAACAAACTCCATGGTTTCTCTTCTTATAAGACTACTAATCTCATCTTGAGGCCCCCACCTTCATGACCTCAAAACTTGGTTATTTTCCAAAGACTTTGTCTCCAAATGTCATATGAGGGGGTAGGACTTAAACATATGAGTGGGGAGAGGGGACAGGACACACAATTTACTTCATAGCAACCACATTTACAATGTTATTCATCCATCACCACCATCCATTTCCACTTTTTCATCATACCAAAAACTGTGTACCTGTTAAATAACTCTCATTCTCCCCTCCCCCCAATCCCCTGGTATCTCTATTCTACTTTCTATTTGCCAATTATAGGTAACTCATACAAATGGAATCATACAATACCGTAGTTATCTTTTTGTGTCTGCTTTATTTCACCTAGGGTAATGTTTTCACGATTTAACCATGTATTTGAATTTCATTCCTTTTTAAAGCTGACTAACATTCCATTGTAGGTATATACCACACTTTATCCATCCATCCCTCCATCAATAAACTTTTATGTTGTTTCTACCTTTTAGTTATTGTGAATAATACTGCTATGAACATTGGTATCTTTTGAGTCCCTGCTTTCAATTGTTTTGAATTCCACCACCAAGTGGAATTGCTGTATCATATGGTAATTTTGTGCTTAACTTTTAGAGGAACCACCAATTTTCCATAGTGGATGCACCATTTTCCATTCCTATCATCAATCACAAGGGTTTCAATTTCTCCACATCCTCATCAACTTTTTTCTTTTTTTATATTAGCAAACCTAATGGGTGTGAAGTGGTATCACATTGTGGTTTTGATTTCCATTTCTCATTTCATTTTCAAGCTCATGTATTTGCATTCCAGCTTGGTTTGCAATTTGTTGAGGTGGGAGTAGAGAAGAGAGATTATAAGGAAATACCGAAGCCCTGGCCAAGTAGAGTGTAGTCCTGATTCGCTAAGGTGAAGTTTTTATTCCTGGTCAGAAAAATCAACCAGTAAATTCATAAATGGGTGGAACAACAAATTGATGATTCTCTACCCCCAACTCTCGGTGCTTCAGCTCTCTCTCTCTCAAATTAAAAAAAGAAAATACTGAAACAGTTATTTCCTGGAAAATTATAAAAAGATGATAGACTTCAAATAGTTACAATGTAAAACCAAAAAAAGAGCAAGATAGTCTCTGCTATGCCACAGAATAACACCCTGCAGCCTTAGCAACTGAAGAACTCCAGATAAAGTAGAACTCAATGACAGCAGTAACCATGCCCAGCAAAGGCAGTGGAAATAGTGCCAAATGGAAGGGCCTGGAGCAGAAGATGAATTTAACCACCAAAACCACATAACTACACTTGTCCACAAGGACATCACAAGTACCTGGGAAACACCTCTCAGACTTCCCTGCAACAACTGCCAATGTATATTGTAGGGTATGGATGAAAGCAAAAGAACACATGCTGGCCGTTTTTCTTACTGTTATAATGCTAATCATCACCAGTTTCTATTCTAAAAATAGGATTACTAGGTCAATTCTTTTTAATATACTTTATTGATTTTTTTTACAGATAGGAAGGGAGAGAGATAGAGAGTTAAAAACATCGATCAACTGCCTCTTGCACACTCCCTATTGGGAATGTGCCCAAAACCATGGTACATACTTTTGACCAGAATCAAACCTGGGACCTTTCAGTCCGCAGGCCGACGATCTATCCACGGAGCCAAATCAGCCAGGGCCACCACATTATTTTTTATTTAAATTCTTTATTGTTGAAAGTCTCCTTTCCCCCCCACCCCATTGACCTTTCCCAGCCCTCTCCCTGCCCGCCCTCTCTCTCTCCCCCCCACCCCTGCACTGGCCCTAACCTCCTACTGTCTGTGTCCATTGGTTATACTTATATTCATGCATACAAGTCCTTTGGTTGATCTCTTACACTTCCCTCCTTACCCTCCCCTGCCTTCCCTGTGAGGTTTGACAATCTGTTCAGTGCTTCTACTAGTATTTTTGTTCATCAGTTTATGTTGTTCATTACA